CCTAAACCCTGAACCCTGAAACCCCGGTTTTGGCTTCCTGGGGGTTCTCAGGCTAGTCAGGGTTTTTCGGAATATCTGGGGCTCTTCAGGTCCGCTTCACCGGCTCATTTGACGACTCCAGATTTGGAAACTTACGAGTTTTGAGTTTAGGCTTTTTTTGGTTTAGGGTTTGGGGTTTAGAGGTTTAGGGTTTAGGGTTTAGGGTTTAGGGTTTAGGGGTTTAGGGTTTAGGGGTTTAGGGTGTAACGGGGTTTCGATTCATGCGAATCCTGCTTCGGGTTTGGGGTTCTAGGGCTTCATGTAAACGGCTTTAAGCATTCTGCGCTTCGTAGCGTAACCTCTGGGGGGGTGTGTTGCTAGATCTTGAACCGTAGACCAACAATTTCCGACCTAGTCCCTACATTGTATACTTTTCAGGCATGCCCCTACATTGTACCCTACATACCATGTGCCCCAAATCCCCAGGAAAAGACAAGCTAACATGTTAGAACATGCACGCTGGAATCATGATGTAGATGATCTCTGATACCCAGAAATACTTCCAAACCCTAAACCCTAAACCCTACCCCCCAAACCCGTTGTCAAGTTTACCCGTTCAGCTACTAAGCTTTCGAGCCCACAACCATCGCTTTAGGGTTTTAAGACCTGGCAGGACTCGTCAACTCGTAGTGTTCCCAAATAAAAGGGTTTAGGGTTTCGAGTTTGGGGTTTAGGGTTTAGGGTTTGGGGTTTCGGGTTTAGGGATTAGTGTTTTCAGCGCCAGGCATTTGTCTGACTGTTCTTGGAACTGTGGGAACCTGATTAAGAAACCCTGGTCATATCTCCCCAACAACAGTAGGATCCATATACAGAGCCCTAACCAAAGACGCCAAAGCTACTTCATCAGGATCTTATATTGGGTTTAGGGTTTAGGGGATTAGGGGTATTTAGGGTTGGGGGGGGGGTTCTTATAGTAAACCTAAGCCCGAAACCCCAAACTCTTAACTCTTATAGAACCCCTGATCTTCGGTAACCTTTCTAGTAACCCTTAGAGGAATCCGTTTAAAGGTTCACATCCCTACTGTTGATGACATAAATCCTGCATGACCTTAAGGACCCTTAACTGTGGGAATTATGGTAGATTCCTTATTATGGGTAGTGCAGGATTTCTATCATCAACCGGAGTTTTTTAACACTTGGACTTTCGGCGAGATGCTTGGGCTCGGACTGTTCAGGATCCACTTGCCTACATCGTACGAGGCTTAAGTTTTAGGGTTTAGGGTTTTCGGGTTTAGGGCTCTTGGGGTTTACGGTTTGGGGTTTTAGGGCTCAGGGCTTTAGGGTTTAGGGTTTGGGGGTTTAGGGTTTAGGGTTTTAAGGCATTGCTACTGCATGGCCGCCTGGCCCCAGATGCAGTGCAAAGTCCTAGTAGCACTAGTTCAGGGTTACAAACCTTTAGGGCCACCTAACCTACGGTTTAGGGTTTAGGGTTTAGGGTTTAGGGTTTACGGTTTAGGATTTAGGGTTTAGGGTTTAGGGTTTAGGGTTTAGGGCTAACCCCTAAAAGCCCAAAGCCTTGCGCCAGCCCGCGAATAGCTGCCGCGCTGCTGGGATGTCGTCGTTGCCCATCTGCATGGTCACGCTGACTTCGATGCCCAGGAAGATAAGGTTGAACCTAGGGTTGTATTCAGGGATCCACAAAGGGTCCATGAAGGATTTTATCAGGGTTTCACAGGGTTTAAGGGGCCTCGTGGTCGACATTGGAGGCAAGTTTAATGACGAGAGTTTAGAACAACAGCACGCAGAACTTTATAAGCAAACAAGGTTCTAGGCTCTTTGTGGGCCTCGGCGCCGCTTGTAATAAGGGCATGGGATTTATAGGTTTCAGGGGTAATCCTACATCCTAAAATCTGAAACCCTCAACTTACTATGCATGTGAAATAAACCAAAGGCCCAAACCCTAAAACCTAAATCCTAAAGCCTTGAAAGCTGAAAGCCCACAGGACCAGGGTTTTTGGAACGCAAACCCCAGAAGCCCAAGATTTGGGCCTAAACCCTAAACCCTAAACCCAAGTTCAAGGATTCTTTTGCTTCGGCCCAAGCCTTAAGCAAACCGCAGCACTTAGCCCTACACCCTAAACAGCTTGGGGATTGAATTTAGTGCCACGGTTCAGGCTCCGGGATTCGGCCTTAAGTAAACCTTATAATTAGTAGTAATTAGTAGTAGTAGTAGTCGTCGTCGTCGTCGTCGTCCTCGTCGTAGTAGTAGATTTAAGGTTTAGGGTTGGGGGGTTTGGGGGGTTTAAGGTTTAAGGTTTTGCGTTTAGGTAATGAAGCTTCGGGGCCCATAAGCTTAGGCCTTGAAGTACCCATATATAGGAACCCCTTTAAGGCCTCAGTATACCCTAAGGCTCCTTAGAGGGTCTTGGGCTTTCTGGGGGAGGGTTTGGGCTTTGGGGGCTAGGGTTTGGGATCTCACTACAAGGGTCCAGGAGTATTAGGGTATACCATGTGGGTACATGGAGCCTTGTGATGCAACTCCAAGGAGCAGAATGACGGACATAATGGCGTAGGAGAACCATGTCGACGTGGTAATCTGGCGGCTGTGGTCTAAAGATATTTGGGGTGCAAAAGGTTAGCAAGTTCGCATTTTTCGGCTTTATGGATCCGAGTTTAGGGCGTCATGGTCCCAGCATTTCTCAAGTTCTGATTGTTGAGAGTGTCAGGGAATGTGGGACTCTCTTCTAGGTGTAGGGGCCTTTTCGGCTTTGTTTGATCTTTTGCCCAGAGGGCCTCACCTGTGGATTTGGTCTTGACCGACTTCTAGGAAAGGGTTTAGGGTTTAGGGTTTAGGGGTTTAGGGGTTTAGGGGTTTAGGGGTTTAGGGGGGTTACAACATGAACAGCAGAACCTTTAGTACGTATTGACGAAGACCTAAACGAGCCCCTAACCCACAACAAATCTTAAATTAAAGCCCCAAGCCCGAACACCAAACCGTGATAGTTCCAGCAAACAGTCCCGACAAACGTCTGCACCGACGCCTCGCAAATACCAGCCACTAATGCAACAAAACCCACTAAGACGCAACTTACCATTGCAACCGAGCCACACTCACTAAATTCTAAAACATGTTAGCAGTGTATACAAGTTTATCAGTTGGGACCCAGCCTTTAAGTCGTTTGACCCGAAGCCCCGAACTAACTCCCAAAACCAGAGACCGTTGATTATCTAGGTTACACTAGCTCCTGGCCAATGTTGGCGTCTCGATCCTAAACCCCAAGCCCCTTCAAGGACCCTGCAGGGAGCCTTTTAGGGAACTCTCAAGAACCTTAAACCCACGTAAACCCTGCAACTTTAGACCCTAGCCTAAACCCCTAAACCCTAACCCCCTAAACCCTAAACCCTAAACCCCTACACCCTAAACACCTAAACCCTAAACCGCTAAACCGCTAAACCCTAAACCCTAAAACCCTACACCCTAAACCCTAAACCCTAAAACCCTAAACCCTAAACCCTAAAGACCAAACCCCCTAAGGGAACCCTGCAGCGCAGTTTCGCCGGGCCTTTTTCAGGATGCGCCGGCAGTTGCCGGTGGAGTCTTCTGAGTTATGCTCGATCCGGGCCTCCCGCGGGACTTCTTTTAAAGGGTTCCGTTGAGGCTCGTTTGAAGGGTTTAGGGTTTGGGGTTGCGGGGTTTAGGGGTTTAGGGTTTAGGGTTTAGGCTCTAAGGACTCACATTTCAAGGCTTTTGGGCCCAAAAGCCATACTTTACAAGGCTTTTGGGCTATTTTGAACCTTCCGTTAGGGGTTCCTTTAAGTCTCGTTCTTAAGGGTTTAGGGTTTAGGGTGATTAAGGAGTTTTTGGATATAGGCTTGCACGAGCCAGAACTTCCCTTAAGGGTTTCTGTACAATAGTAGTAGTAATCTATATTGCGTGGGGTTTGTGGGTTCAGGGCCTTCGGGCTTAAGTGGGCATATGGGATTCTACAGCAGTTTTATCGGGCCTCTCTCGAATCACACTCTTCGACAGGGGCCCTAAACCATGAACCCTAAACCCGTAAATTTTAAACCCTTGCCGGAAAAAGCCCAAAGCCTGCAAAAGCCCACGACCCTCGTAGGCCCTTTGAGCAGGATTAGGGGGGCCCTTGGGGATACCTCGTAGGCCCCATAATAGTTCCGCGGATATAGACCCTCTCATTAAGGGCTTTAGGGTTTAGGGTTTAGGTGGGAGTTAGGACCCTTGGGGATATAGACCCTCTCAAGAAGGTATTTTTAGGAGAGCCAGAAGTCGTTAAGAAGGGCCCTGTTTTAGGGATCTCCCGAAGACTACCTGGGACATAAACCCTGAAACTCCCAGCCTTCCCCCTGAGCCTTTAGCCCTAACTCTAAACGCAGGAAACAAGCCTAAGTGGGTCCATACCCATGGGCTCCATAGTAGTTCCTTTTTGTGGTTTATATTTAGGATCCCATAAGTCTGTAAGTTAATCCCCCAAAAGGAACTATTATGGAGCCTATGGGTATGTGCTGCCACTCAACAAACATAGGTAGCCCCTAAAGTTTGGAGCTTAAGCCCATGATGTTAGTGTCTATGAACCCACTCCGCACGTTTACTCTCCTCGTCAATGACCGGGACCCAAGAAGTTCAAACCTTCTAAGCTGGTCCAAATAAATAAGGCCAAAGAGTTTCAAGTTCTCCCTTTGGCTATCAATTTTCTTGGGTAGTGTTCCATAGTAGGGTTCCTTTGTAGGTCCCCCCATATAGTACGGCACCCTTGTAAAAAGGAGACCTAAAAGGGACCCGACTTTAGAGAACTACCCAATCACAACCCTGATCGTACCCTTCTAGAAACCCTATAGAAGCGCTTATACCTAGACCCTCCATCTACCCTCTACCCTAGATACCCTTAACTTGAGACCATATTTAAGCGTACTTGGAGGGTCCTGATAGATCATCATAGGGTCTTAGGGCCCAAAAGCCTCAAAATATGAGTCCCTTGAGGGTAAGGGTTATAGATCCCTTTAAGGAACCCTTTCAAGGGACCCTGGGGGAGCCCTGGACGAGCCTTGGCTAAGTAGCGCGCTGCCTGGGACACCTCGGGGTTCAGATTTCGACATCTACGGGTTTAGCTCTAGGGGGTGGGCTTCGGGTTTAGGGTTTTAGGGTTGAGGGTTTAGGGCTTAGTGGGTTAAGGGTTGGGTTCAGGGTTTCGGGTTCAGATTTAGATCTAAGGGTTTAAGGCTTAGTGGTTTAAGGGTTGAAGGGTTTAGGGTTTGGGGTTCAGTTCAGATTTCGATCTAAGGGCTTATTGGCTTAGTGGTTTAAGGGCTGCAGTGTTCAGATGTCGATCTAAAGGTTTAGGGCTTAGTGGGTTAAGGGCTGAGGGGTTTCGGGAAGCATTTACGGGTTCAGGGTTTCGGGTTTTCGGGGTTTCGCGCTTCATGTTTCGGCTTACGGCTTCGGCTTCAGGGTTTGCAGTGGAGTTAGGGTTCCGGGCCTAGGTGTTCAAGGTGTAGGTTGCAGCGTGTTCGGTTTAGGGTTTAGGGGTCTCGCTTTATTTATACAGGGTTCAGGGTTCAAGGGCTTAGGTACTTGGCACTGTTATAACAGATCTCCAAAGAACCCTCGAAAAACACGAGATTTCAGCCTCCCTTGAAAAACTACCGCGCGTGTCGTTTTCCGTCGCGCGCTTTTTTGTGAAAATACGCGTTTCGCC